ACCCTTCAATTAAACAACTATCTCCTCAAATCAATGCCTATTAGTATAAAAAATCGTGATTAGTTTGTTTCTTTTTATATTTTTCAGGGCTTAAATTATAACAAACAGATGGAATACGTCACAATAGCACAAAACCTATTCAAAAATTCTTATGGAAAAAAAAATTACTCACGGTAGAATTGTGACAAACAATCTTCTCCAAAGTATGTCTCAATTCAAGCAAACCTTTGGCAGCAGACGTAGACAAATCACAACCTCTAAGTTCCAAAACCCTCAGTCTCCCAAACGGAACCAAACAAACCGGCGTCGGATCACGCGTCGGTGGAGGCAAAACCGAAACAATCTTTAACTCCGTCAACAAACGAAGAATCCTCCGCAACTGCTCGAGAGCACGGTGGTCACCAAGGTCAGAAATATAAGCGCGAAGATAATCGACCGGAGCTCCAGATAATAAATTCTCTAACTCGAGTAGTGATTCGAGTCGCGAATGAACGTAGTGGAGACCGGCTGGGTTAAGCTTTAAGACTAGGGTTCCGTCAATTAACGGACCGGCTTGTTCTTCGACGAATTTGACTAGCTTTTCTAGATAACGATCTCCTGTTACGATCTCCATTAGAGATAGAGAGAGAGAGAGAACGTAAGCGTGCGTGGTTTTAGAGAGAGAAAGGAGGCTTAGGTGGGATGGAAGAGATGAGAGAAACGTGTGTCTCGTTTGGCATTTTTTGTGTGAAGAGGAAGGAAATGAGAGAGCGAGGGAGAGGAAGGGGGAAGGGAAAGGGGTGGGAGGGTGTTTGTCTGGGTTAGATGGAAACGAAAGTCATTAATTGCGATGTAATGATTGAGTTAGCCTTTGGCATTTTCTTATTTAATAATTGGTCAATAGTCGAAGAGGTGTTTTTATTTATGTATTTATTTATTTATTTTGTCTTTATTGTATCTTTTTTATTTTTTTCTTAAAATTATTTTTTATATTTTATTTCTGTTTTGGTCTCTCTTTTTTTGTTATTTGTTGAAGCTAATGATATAACTTATTTTTTATGTCTTAATTTTATCCTTCTATCTTTATCTTGTTTTTGTTTTATCAAATTTAAATAAACAAATTTTGAAAGAAAAATAAAAAAAAATAGAGATATATTCAATCTTTTTCTTTAAAATTTGAAAAAAATATAAAAAAAGTAAAGATAAAAAATATATTTTTTCATCCAAAATATTTTTTATGAGTTTAAATTTGTGCAAGTAAAATTTGAGTATAAAATAAAATATTGATAGTATTTTTTTTTTAATGTCTCTCTATGATAATAAGAAAACTTTAAGTATAAAATAAAATATTTGTAGTGTTTTTTTTATTTGATGAGAGTTTTAATTAAATTTTTAAAACTAAAAAATTTGTAAAATCAAAATAAGTAATTATAGTAAACTCTTTTGAGATATTATAAATTATAAATATTATAAATATTTTATTTTATGCATAAAATTTGTTGAGTATCATAAAAATAAATTTTCACTTATAAAGAATATTTTGGATAAAACCAAAAAAAAATTAATGTTCCCTTTTTTTATTTTTTATTTAATTTAATGTTATTAGTTTAAAAATTAAGACATAAACCAAACATAAATGAATTAACTTAAGACCAAAAACTACAGAGAAACACAATAAAAAAAAATAATAATAATAATAAAGCTTCTAGAATCATTAGCCCATTGATAATTATCCGTCTTTCACAATCCAAGTTCCTACTTTTTACTATGTTCCTGTGTTATTTTATATTTATTTATTTATTATTTTTTCACGAAGACAAGATAAGTCCGTCTAAACATGACTCATAGATGTTTCTTCGATTAAACAATCTTTTTGCCCCTATGTTTGTGAGTTTGCGACAAATGTTCTCTTATCTTTTGTTTCTCAATTAACACTGAAATTGATAAAATATGGATCAAATTTACGTTGCAAAAATACGATAATTAGCTTTTAAAAAATTTAAAAATTTTAGAAATTGGCTTTTTATAAATAAAAAAATAAATTGTTGTGACGAAGAACATTTCCAATTCAATCCTTAATAGAACTCTAGCTGGTTATCTACTCACATTTTGATGAGTTGCTTGAGCCTTGAAGTAAAACCAAACAAAAGAATTTATCTTAAAACTCAATTCAACTCTATTATAATCTCAATTCTATTAAGAATCGATTGTTTTTGTTAAGATGATCAAGCATATAGAATCGAAGCTCAGCTCTACAATTCAATTACAGAGTCTTGAATTTCACTTCTCTAATTCAATTACAAAGTCTTGAATTTCAACTAACAATTTATTGAAGTAGTGATAAACGAATTGATTTTTAAACAGATTTTTTTATTAATGTGCAGAACTTAGAAGGATATTTGAGAAAAAAAAAATTATAGTCTTGAATTTCAATATTAGTTCAAGAATAGACAGGCCACTCATTAACTCAAATGGACAAAAACATTTACAATTTATTTCATAAGAAACAAAAGGGGACCAGGGTGGATGAAATTTCCTTATTTGTTGCAGAAGCAAAATCCTAGATTGATGTACAAGGCTGTTGTCCATGAAGCTTTTTAAAGAGAGGAAGAAGGAGGTCTTTTTACAGAAACTTTCTCCATGAAGCTCAAATACCAAGCCACATAATTAATTCAGAATCAGGGATCAGGCTTGTTGAAAATGCATGTCCTAAAATGCATCATCATTTATGTATAAGTTTTTGATAAGGACAAATTGAAAATGAAACTATCAATCTGATTAAAAGAGAATTACCAAGGAATTGAAATGGCAATTTGTACTAATCAAATATTCCTAATTAGTTACAAAAATTATGGAGTTCTGAACATAGTTTACTAGGTGGATAGAATCCTAGGATTCGGAAACCATTCACCAGAAAGCAAATGAATTTTTTTTTAGGCTGGACAGATGAATTCCTGATTTGATGCAGACTTAGTGCAGATGCTGATTCATTTAGGCTTGAATTTTATTTTGTTTTTTCCAACTTTGAACAATTTTCGTTTGTTGTTATAAATTAGTGGTAAGTTGTTAGTATTAGAAGAGAGGGAGAGCAGGACTTAATATTTTCCATGAAAGTGGATTAAACTGCCCACAACATTAAAAATCTCGAGACTAACTCGACCATTTTTTGTATGGGATTGGCCAACTTCAATTGTTCTTTACATTAGAAGCACATTGTTTGTTAGTGAATACTTAGAACATGTTAAGACCTCACTAGTCACTGCATAACACAGGGCAATAAGAAGGACAGAGTTGACAGTCTAGCAAAGAAGACATAAATAGCAAACTGAAGTGACTAAAGCCTGAAATCATGGTAAATATGCAAGACTCTGCTTTCAAGACAAGACCAAAGTAGCTGTGATTTAGAATTGAAAGGGATAGGTAGAGTCTTGTCTTGAAATTGATAAATATGCAACCTAGTCTCAGGGCAGAATAAAGTGTATTTGTGATCAAGTGAATCACAGGGTGGTAAAAGTACAAACAAAAGTAAAATATAAATGCAGCCATTAAAATATTCAACCCATGCCACCTAATTTATCTTACTTAACTGAAAATTGCATCATTAAATACAGGATCATTTCCCCAAATCTATCTTTTTAGTCTTAGAGAATCGATCCATTGAAAAACCTGAAGTCATAACTTGTTTGTAACCTATGCAGAAGCAGAAATCAGCAGATATCTTATCTCCTAATTTTGAGGAGTCTCTAAAATGTTCTAACTAGCTTTCTGAAATATTTGCAATTTACGATCATTCCCAAGTTGTTGATGACTTAGTGTAAATTATTCGTAAGTTCAATGTTAGGAAATGAATCATGAAAGAAAATAAAGTAAAAAGACAATAACAATTATACAACACATAGATTTATGTGATTCGGCAATTGTGTCTACTTTACGACTGTATTAGGATTCTATCAAGTAGCGACTATAAATACAAGTGATATTGCTTTCATTTATAATATGGACAGCTTGAGTTATAATAAAAAAAAATGCTTATTAGGATTTTTTATTAGGACTTTATCAAATAACGGTTATAAATATAAATGATGTTGTCTTTATTTGTAGCATGGACAGCTTGAGTTATAATAAAAAAAATGCTTATTAGGATTTTATAGCGAGACCTCGTGTGCGTACCGCCCTAAACTGCTTGGGATAGGTTAAAAGCCTGAAGAAATCACAAAACGACCAAGAGCATAGACTTCATATGCCCCTAAATTTATCATGAACAAATCTGGACTTTAATGAACCTAGTATGCTTCTTCATTCAAACAGAGCTACTTTGGTTGCCACAGGTTTAGTCCATTTAATACATGGCACTACGGCATTGGACAATGAGCCTTGCTTGCGTGTTTGTTGTTGGATCTGATCTAAACACAAGCCCCATAGAAGATTCCAATCTTCAAATACGTTATATATAATGGTGTACCTCTAAATCCCAACCAAAACTGAAATGTCACAAACTGCAGTTAAGCTTTACCAATTTAGATTGTCAAAAGAAATATGCCCTAATAATGTCATCCAAAAAGGTGAGTCCTTCATCGGTCAAACTGAATCGATCAAACTTACCTGTTCAATGATTTTCGTTCTAAAGGGATGGCAGTTATTAGAAAAATAATAACCAATTGATCAAGGACCTCAATCCACAGGTAAGATCCCTTGTCAAGCTTTTGGGATCCTTTCAGTTTCAGATTTCATCCCTTTGAGGAAGCAAGAAGCGAACTGCACCTACCTTGTCTTGATTTAATATGCCACTTTTTTTCACGATTATGAAAGGAATAACCTCACAGTAACTTTGGAAACCGAAGATCACCACTGAAAGATAATAAGCTTTTGCAGTTGGACCATCACATGGTGACATATTGGTGAATACAACGAGGCAAACCTCGGACTTTGTTACAAATTGTTTATCCTATATGTAGCAACGATACTTGATTATTTTACAGCAACTTTGATGGATATGGGGTTTACTAGAAGGTGATGGAGCTTTAGTTGATCTTCTCACCACTTGCTAGGCGTCTCTTCTCTTCTTCAACCTGTTCAAGCAATGCTTCTAACTCTGCTTCTGACAAGCCCTCTAACCGCTTCTGCAAAACCAGATTGAGGCCAGATTTTATGTCAGGAAAAAACAATTTACGAAAGTAACTCCAGAAAATCCGTTGACTTAGTGAAGTACCAGACTATCATGGTTTGACACAAGATTGATTCTTTCGGTAAAATGGGGATCGAGATAAGAATTTGGCAATGAAATGCCAATTCAAAGTGGTTATTAAGGATTTTTCCACACTTTTCCCAGGTACCAAAAGGATCATATCTAGGTTTCAGTTCCAAATAAAAAGGTGTGAAGTGCATATACATTTTGACAGATATAGATAAGCAAGCATACAAACAAAAGAGTAGATGCAAGAAAAGTTTTGCAGCATATCAAACTTCAAATACTCAGCTTTCACCAAAACTCCTTTTCCACTAAATGAAATGGAGTTCAGTGGCGATCCTTTTCACGAGAATTCGTTTTGAAAATATACAATAACTTTAGGAAATACTTTCGCACTAAATTGTTAATAAAAGCAATATAAGATTTTTTTTATTCAAAGAAATATATAGTTTTATTTTGTCTTTTCAACCATTTACGAGATACTAGAAGATCAAGCATATAAAATCAAAGAAAAAAGAATCACTGTTGCAGTAAATAAAAGAAAGTCATCTATGCATAGTGTACAAATTTTGGCAAATAAGTACTTCAATTTCGCAAATTTGAGAAGAAAATTCTAAACTAAACAATACCTCCATAACTTTGTCCTCATAATCACGAAGTTGTTGAGCATACGTCATTTCCTTGTTTGAGACTCTAAAGATGTACGTTGAAATCCATCCTACTGTTAGACCCAAAACTAATACCAATTGAACAACATTCCCTGCTTGTAAAGGATCAAAACCAGCATACTGCAGAATCCATCATAAAAGAACCGTCAGATGATGCAAGTATGCAGTGAACTATCTCAATGTATGAAATCTATCCATGGTCAAGAAAAACCAATTCCAGAAAACATCTCACTATAACAGGCGAAACATAGCAGCACAATAAAAATAGCTAATCCATTATGTAACAGTTTACCCCCATCGAACAATGAGACAGTACAAATTGGCATGTAAGTGAAGAGGAAAAAGAAAAGAATGGAAATGGAAGCTCTGAATGGTTAGAAGGGATAAAAATGCCAGGATACCTCCAGTCCCCTTTCTAAGCCAATGCCGATAACTGTGACTCCAAGTCCAATCAACAAGACATCCTTTCTGGTGTACCCAAAAGGTGTCTGCTCTAAGCAAAAGTACAAGAAAGATATGAGAACAACATCCAATTCCACAAAATTAGAATATAAATGATGACTTTGGCATTCATTGAAGAGGCACTGACATTTAGAAGCCAGCCACTTTTACATAAACAAGGAAATCCATTATTCTTTGAAGTTACAAAAAGAGAAAAAAATAAACAAATAACCATAACACTTGAAAAGTTGTCATGAGTAGCTGCTCGTACATGCCTTGCCTTGATCTGAGGAACCGTCTTCACTGCCACTGGAGTTTGAGGAACTGCTACTTCTAGGGGTAGTAAAGCTCACTTTCTTTGGCATCATACCGCTAAATCCTTTCCTTGGAAAGCAGAACTTTTCCTTTCTATACAAGCTTTGTGGAATTAATCTTCCTGAATAGTTGATAATAACATGAGTAAGAAGTAACACTACAGGCATCGAAAACAAGAAGTATCCTCACAAGAGTAATCATTAAGTCCTCTTGATAAATATCAATGATGATTTGTCAAAATGGGGATTTCCAGAATAACTAATACTCAGCATTATGAAAGACTAAATGTTGCATTGGCAATTGGCAATTGCACGAAATTTATTGAACTTAAGCTCAATGTAAACTAATATCATTGACAACACAAATAACACATGAATTCAGAACAGAAGTTGATATTGGTGCTTCGTGGCTAGGCGACACATTTTAATTGACTCTGACCAAAAGAAAATCTAGGGAGGAAATGAGGCAATCGTAGTATCCAATCAGATGCAAAAGCAAGGGGATAAAAGGGATTTCCTTAGGGATCAACAACCTAAAGACACTCAAACAAGTTTTGTTAGCTCCCCTCGTAGATTTGGAACAATTTATTAGATTATTAATTGGAGTTTCATAAAGTAGCGTAACCTTAGGGCATTCTTCAATAATGCAAAAACATGCCTAATTTTTATCTACATCTACATCCAAAAAGAACTTTGGGAGCTAGTCCCACTAAGTCCAATCAGTCTTCCATCAGCTAAGGAAAAAACTGACTAATAATCATTCCTTGACAATACTTTTGAAGCAATTCAAAGTCCAAATTAAGAAAATCAATCACTTACAGAAACAAAGCATTTTAATAAGTAATATAGTTAGACCACCCAAATAGCTTTCATCCCATATGAGTAGCAAAGAAACAAGAGAGAATTTAAAAAAGAAGAATCTGCTAACTGACCTCTGATGAAAGGTCCAGCTCCCAATTGCAAGAGTGGAAGAGCTGAAAACCCGGCAAAGGAAATAGCTCCATGTTCGCGTAAGATGTTGCAATTTGGATTTCCATGCAGTAAAGACGACATCCCTGAACTCATCTCTTAAGTCAAGCACAATAAAACTTTAGCAAACTCGTATACCACTTTGTTTCTTGCTTTTACTGATCAGTAATCAAGAAAGGTCTATTCTAACTGGTTCTATCCCTTCATCTCAGTGTGAATCAAAGTCAATATGTTCCATAAAAGAAGCAAAAACAGACGAGAGAAAGGAAGGATAGAGAAAAAGGCTAGTGTACGTACCTTGACAAGGAAGCAGTGGTTGGCTGGCAACGCAGGTGGGTGGTCGTTCGTGGGCAGGGAGGCCTCCGGATGAGGGAACTATGTATGTAGTTGGCGCCATACGGGTCCCACTTTAAAAATATCAAGGCTGTAGATTTAAAAAAAAAAGAAAGAAAGGTTTGCTATTTTTTCCAAAAAAAAAAAAAAAATAGAGATCACGATTAAAAAATAATATTATTACATGTAGACTGGTAAAACCAATTAAGTAGTGCTTCCGATTTTTAGAAACTATATGTTGAATAAAAAAGAACCCAAATTGATTAAAAAAAAAAAAGAAAGGGGAAAAAAAGTAAAAAAACATGTATATTGAAACTAAGCTAAAATAAATAAAAAAATGAAAAAAAAAAACCTTGCTTATAAAAAGTGGAATAAAGGCCGGGAAAGAGAAACAAAAAACAATAAAGTGTTTCACCAAAAACAAAAAGAAGAATAAGGCTGAAAAACATTGTTCATTGAACAATGAAACACACCATGAATGTGCTTTATGTTTTACAGTATTAGTAATATTTAATTTTTATATTTTTAAATCTAATTATAACTTAATTATTTATATTTATTTCATGGTATTTTTTAGTTTATTTTTTTCTAAAAATATAAAATTAAAGAAAAAAGTATAAAAGATGAAAAAGGTCTATGAAAAGAGAAGATATTTTTAAAGCAAAATAATATTAAATTATCGACACTATTAAATGGATTGTTTAATTACCTTCTATACTATAAAGATTAATTAATTAATTTTAATCAACTACAAATACTAAGTTATAATTAACTTTTTTTTTCTAGAGACCGACATGCAAATTTATTGGAAGAGAAAAAAATAGGAAGTGTTCACTTAACAAAAGAGAGAGAGAGAGAGAGATTATGAGTTAAATTCTCTTTTGGGAGTATTTGAGTTTTTTTTAATATAAAAAAAAATCATTACAAGAAGAGGTTAAATTCTCTATATTGCAATCATTTTTTTATATATATAAAATGTTTTTTTTCTAGAAAGTATAATTTTTCGTGTGATTGTTTCATAGGTCATGATATCTTGAGTTTAATTAATTATAATATAGCAAAATGCATAACAAAAACATAAATATATTAGAGATATATTTAAAGAAATTTTGCATCATAAATCCAAGATTGGATACTGAAATAGAAGATTTTAAAAGTTGAGCACTGAAATATATATATAACTAAAAGTTGGATACCAAAATTATAATTTTCTGGTTGTACCATAGAAACAATAGTAATTATTTGAAAATTGTTGTTGTTTTTTTTTTTTTTTTGGCATTTTTAACTACAAAAGAATAGTTTTGGAATATCTCTTCATTTGAATCACTTATTGTTATAATAGTATTTTTATATATATAATTAGAAAATTTATTGAGTTTTGAGCTATATGATATGACAGTTTACTTTTTATTTTTTATTTTATTTTGTTTCACACTGGACAAAGATGCAATATTTACCTCTAGAAAATGTATATACTTAGATTATATTAAAAATTTGGACTCCACGATTTTAAACTAGAAACTTCAGAATTAATCGTAAATAAGTTCATTTAAAACTGAATTTCAAGTAACATTTTTCTTTTATAAAGGATTTTAAGTAAGTTTAAAGTTTAAAAATGTTTTTTTTTCTATATATTTTTTTAAATTTTCTTATTGGTCATTGGTTATGAATATTTTTGAATTAATTTATATATCAATTAAATTTTTTAAAAAAAAAATCAAACCATCTTAAAAAAGGCATATCCAAAACCAAAATCGACTTGAAAAGAAGTTATTGTAGAGTTTCTTTGCAACCCTTGGAGAATTTTCAATTCGTTGAAATTTCCATGCAATTCTAGAAAAATATTGACGTGGTTCTTTTATGAAAACAGACCATAGGCCAGACCATAAATCCATCTTTAGATGGGCTTGGGTCCTGGTTTAGGGCCCTAAGGTCCAAACTAAACATCCACTGGTCCGCAACTAACTCAAACATGCGTGTTCATGCCTCGTGGTTGGATGTCATGCATTTCTTAAGGATTTTCCTTTTTTTTTTTTAATTCTCGGAACCACCATGATTTTACTTTTATGTGAGTACCCAAACTACGTACAAAATCTTAATTCGGTTCTCAAATTTTTCTTTTTCTCTATTAGGTCTCAATTTTTATTTTTATTTTTTTCAGATAGGCGTCATTAATTGGGTTCTTAAAGGTTCAAAAATTATCAATTACATTATATCTAAAATATGCACAAATATTTAACAGAAACATCAAATTTCTTTAAAAAAAATAGTGTAATTTTCATTGCATAAAATGTGCATTATGGTGGAATCCATAGAGAGATATCAATGAAGGGATTCAATTAAAATTTTTGAACTTTTGAAAACTTAATTGGAATAAAATTCTTTAAAATCCCAATTGGTAAATGGGTTATAGTTTCGAAAATAATTTGACGTTTGTTATATTTTCTTAGATAATAGGTTACCGATCATGAAAGTCCAACTCACTGCATTTCGATTGGCCTTTTGTATGTGCTTAGCTGCATATAGCAACTTTTCCATCCAGTTAAGACATCTTTTCTTTTGGAGCATTTTAAAACATGTCATTATAGATTATATAAAACATGAGTAATCAAAATAAAAAATAAAGACTACTCCTTGGCTCGGCCTAAGAAATAATATCACTCGATCATTATCAAACTGATTGCAATTTATGTTTTTTTATCATAATTTATTGTTTTTTTAGGAGATGATTTATCATCTTCTAACTTTTTAAAATCACTGCTAATGTTAAAAAAAAAAAAAAAATTGCTGTAAACTTGCAAGAAAGGTAACAAGCGTGCAATTTGTTTTAAACAAATTATCATATTTTGCATCCAAGCTCAAATTTTCAAAATGATTGATGGGAGATTAATGCAAATCAGGAAAAGACATCTCTTTTCTTTGATTTTCAGCAATCAAATGACGTTCCTCGTCATTCTTTTTAATAACAGAAAAAAAAAATCTCATCCTTAGAGTGCATTCTAGTTTATCATGGATTGTTTATGTATTAATGGGATAGGGATGGAAAGTAAACTTGTTTAGCTGAATAGTTTATACTATTAATTTAGTAATTTTTAACTTTGAATTACCGAAAATATTGTTTCTCCATTTGATTTGACTATTAGTATTAATAAAAAAAAAATTCAAATTTTAGTATTTTTAACTGAATTTTTGCATACAATCTAATTAAATTTCAATCCACTTTCACAAACAATTTTTTTTTTAATTTGAACGTATTTTTTAGTTTCTAAACAATAAAAATTTAATAAATTATAAAAATAAAAAATAAGATTATCACCAATTTATTTGAAAGGTCTAAGAAGGTGATATGAATTTACATAAATAATCTAGGAAGGTTCTTATATAAAAGATCAGAAGGTGTATGGAGGGGGAAGAAGGGTAGGTGATTTGGTGAAATTCTTCATTTATTATTATTTTCTTTTGGTGGACAGTGGCTTGCATGTTGAAATAATTCTTCTTTCGTCATTGTCTATTTTTATATGATCATTATGTTTCTCCTTTTATTGTTTCTTACACTCTATTCCTTTGCTATATTAAATAAAAGTGTCAGCTAGGATAACAAAACACATAATGTATTTTGTTTCTGATTCCTTTCTCTTTCAGATTGTCACCTCCCCCAAGCTAAAACGCTTAGATTGATATGAAATATTACTGTATTTTCTTGCTATTAAGGGAACTATTCTTATGTCTTGACAAGAATAATTCTTTTATCAAAAACTTAAATGATTGGGGGCTACTGTTATTGGCTCCATAATCTCTAATAGTTGATGTTTAGAGGTTTAATTCAAACAATAATTAACTTTTCTTTCGTCTTATAATGTAGAATTCAAAAATAAAAAGAATATGCAAAAAAAAGTGTAAATACATTTATAAATATGCGGATGGTTCACTCAAAATTCAATTCAAATAAGACTTAATCTTGATATATAAAAGATGATAAAAAAATAACCGAACCATTAAAAAGAAAGAAAGAAAATGTCTACCACAAAGGGATTATGAATCATAATCACTTGTAAAATTAAATGATGGTTGTTCTCTGCAGTAAAAGCAAGCATGGAATACCTTTCATTAATCTTCTCTCTTTCGGACTACAATTCTTCTCTTTCAAGATCTTTGACTCTCTACATTAGTTTATGCTAATAAGATTCATGAAAAAACATAATTACATAAACATATTGTTATATAGACAGATATCTCATATCACATAAAAAAATTTTGGAAGATAGGTAAGTAGAAATGTGTGGAAGAAGAGAAAATATATGAATTGCATTAATGGTAAGTAAACAGGCAAGTTTTGGTCTAAAAGCAATATTCACAGTATATATATATATATATATATATATATATATATATCATGAACTGGTCTTCGTTCATGCCCTCAAACTCAGAGAGAGTAGGGAGGCTTTTGTTTTGATGACAAGTGAATTTATATCATTTAAAATTTAAATTATAGAAAAGGATGTAAAAATAAATAAAAAGATTTTATGAATGACGAATCTGATGTAAATGACTTGATTAAGACATGAATAAGAAGAAAGTTTACTTTAAAATGCAAAACCAATCAAGAATACCATAACTCTTAAAACATGAATTAATGCGTCCATGCAACAATAAGCCATAGTATTAATAGTTGATTAAGACATGAATAAGAAGAAAGTTTACT